TATTCAAGTACTCACATAGGGTCAGCTGTCAATAACTATTAAGGTTTGCAGTGACTCCTCTTCTACCTTCCTACTTCTTTTGAAAAAAGAAAAAAACCTGCATACTTCTAAATTCCTGCATATTTCTATTTGCTACTAACTTCATTCTTTCTTTATTAGTAGTAACATGCTTTTGTTCTATACCCCCATATATCCTTGATCTTCTTAAAATACTGTTTGAAAATACTTGGAATTTTTCACTTTCTGATCCTTACAATGTATAATCAGATATCATTCCTTAGCAAACATATTTCAATGTTCTGTTTCACATTGAGAACTTTTTTGATAAGAGTCAGAATTTTTTTTCCATTGATGGATTGTGAACCCCTTGCCAGCAGAAGCTTACCTTCTGCTTAACATATATTCCCTTACTGATGTGGGCTCAGCACCACACACAACAATGGAATCTTGATACAGGTAGACTGTATTAGATGTAAACCTCAGAAAGATAACTGAATTATTGTTTTAGATGAATGGACCTAACAGCCTTCTGTTTTGACTCTGATACCCAAGCCATTATAATAAGAAAGCATGGATATTAAATAAAAGCAATGCCTTCTAGCCCAATACACAAACTTGAATACTTATTATACCACTGAGGAATTCATTAGTAGAGTATTGTGAAATATTCTGGAAAGATATATTATACATCATTCAAGATTTAAATTCAAAGTATTAGGTGATAAAAAAGAAAGTTAATAGTCTTCTGGGATATAAAAATATAAATGCATTTGCATTCATTAATGTAAGACTCTATTTTTGTCACCTTGAGTTTGTTCTGAAAAATATTCAATACTCGGTTAGATTGTCACTCTCAACAGTTTATTAATAAGAAAAGAACATTCTCTTTGAAGACATTACCATAAATTAATTTAAAATTTTCTCCAAAAATGTAAGTAAAATGGAGACTATTTCTTAAGTAGATCTTTCACTTGTGTTTGTGTTTATTTTCTTATTTTTGGAACCTATTCTCTTGTCAGAATATATCTGCTTTTTAATAAAACTTTGTGGTAATCTCTGGGGTGAAGTGAATCAAGAAATGTACATTGTTGTGTTTTAAGTATTTCCAAACATTGAGATTCACCACAAATAAGCCATTAAACAACAATTACACTTAACAAACAAATAAGCAGACACACAGAGAGAAACAAATCAGCATCATTCTTTCTCCTTATGTAAACACCAGTTCAAGCAATTTCTACTGATTCACTTACCATTCATAATGTTGGAATGAATGTTCTGTACCAAAACAAATTCATTCTCTTTCTCTCTCTACCTCCCTCTCCCTCTCTCTCCCTCTCTCTCTCTCTCTCTCTCTGTCTCTCTCTCTCTCTCTATATATATATATATACACACACACACACACATAGATATACACACATATCTGTGTA